GCATTTGTTTCTTTATTTCGTTCTTTGTTTCTGTCTTGTCTTTCGTTCTTTCTTTCTTTCTTTCTTGCTTTCTTGCTTTCTTGCTTTCTTGCTTTCTTGCTCTCCTCTTCTTCTCTTTCTATTGGTCTATCCATCTATCTGTTTGTCTGTCTATCTATCGAACATGAATGAGCACACCTCTGCCTCATGGACGCTTAACCCCCATATTCCCCTGTTGAAGGAATCGGTTTCCTAGGCTGCAGCTGGGGAATCCAAGTCTCAATGGCTTTCTGGATCTCCCTGAGGCATGGCTAGCTTTCATTCAACCGCATCTCAAGTAAGCTTTCTTGCTATCGGGGTACTCATTCTCTCTCTCTCTCTCTCTCTTTTTTGCCCTCCCTTTCTCCGCCCATTTTATCCTTTCTGTCTACTTTTCTGTCCATCTATCCCCCATCTTGCAATCTAAGCTACTTCCATTTCTAGTCTACCAAATCTTTTTTATTCTGTTCGTCGATCTAATCTCACATTCTGTGGTTTATTTGTCTGTATCTATCCCTCTGTCTACCTACCAACCTATCTTCTATCTTTTCTCGTTGTAGCTATACATTCGGGAGTTCTCGGGAGCGCTCCGACCAGGCGTCGCGATCAGGCTAACTTTCATCGACCCAAGGAATCGGAACCCGCAGAGGGTTGCATTACATGTTTAGTCCCGCGATACACACGCGCGAGAGCGCTCGTTTTATTCGTGTGTGTCTGTGTGTGTTTCTTCGTCCCTTTCCTTCAGGGGTCTAGCTTTCACTTCGTTGCCGTACCACAGAAGTGCCACCTAAACTTCCCTTGCTTATTCACTTCAGGGGTGTTACTGCAGCATTGCTCGTCAGTGCGCTCGCTCGATCACTGGTTTTCACTCGGCTCTTGGCGACGCCGGGGCGCAAAAATGATGCCCGGTCTTGTCGAACTTTTGGCGCTTGGTGTGGGCGGGCGTTGGGCCGAGGAAAGTAACGAGCAGGAACAGCACAGTCACTTGTAAGGGTTCTCGGTGTTGACGCACACCTTTGCGGCGGGCAGTTATCAGATCTAATGTGGCTACTTACCGCAAAGCTTCGTGCACAGATAACAGCACGTGCCTCAAGGCCCAAGGCCATTCCAACACCCTGAAAAATGCGCGGCCAAGCGCAAGCCATTGACAAGTTGGCATGAGATGCACGCTGCTGGTTGCCTGCGTTTGTTGGGTGCTACTACGAGCGAGTTGCCACGCTGAGCCATTCATCATCGTATCCTCGCCGCTGCGCAGACAACAGCGCTTCTGCGCCTTCCTGGTGAAGTCAGAACAGAATATTTATGTTTGTTTCCAACATAGAAACCCGAATACATCATTTTACAAATACATCTTTTTACATATGCATTCTGTACACAACATATATATATATATGTGCACCAAATGTACATATATGTAAATATTTGTGGGGTGGTTAGAAATTGACTTTCGCTTGCACTGAATATTGTGCTTTGCCCTTTCGGCCGACCGGCATTGGTTCAAAACTTTTGCCAGCCTGTTTACGGTAGGGCACCGACCAGGGTGCTTGTTTCAAAGCCGCGAGTCCAGTGGAAGCAGCCAGCTTGACCTTTTAAGCAATTGACTTCTTTGCTTTCGGTGCAGCTGGACTAGCCCTCCAAGTCCGTGAAGAATCTGCCCAATTGACGCCTGATCGCGAGTTCAGCGATCGCAACCATTGGAAAGACCATTTCATGAAGGGGTTCGTATTTGAGGTCTTGAATGGTTATGAATCAAAGTTATGAATGCTGCAGATTGCACACAGTCTCGCAGAACTGTTCCTGGAACGCGACCGCCCACTCATACCACGGATCTCCCGTTCTCCCGTGTTTTTTGTTCCCCGCGGCGTTGTCAGTTGGCAGAATTCGTCCCATGGCGCAGCAAAAGACGATCCATGTCCCCTCCAGCCAACGGGTTCCCCGCTCCAAACAAAACAAGACAGGGCAAGCCGTGTATTGGCATGGGCGACTGAGAAAAGGGTCTTGGGTCACCAGAAGTTGGATTTCGGCCAGGCCAAGATGGAAGAACTGAAGCGCGAGCATGCGCTGCAAGCACGCCAGTGGGCGGAGCAGACTTCGGCGAACCTCGGCTTCCCATGCGATTCGCGGAGTAGGGGGAACTTGGGACGTGGATGCGGGTCTTCACACACCCTCAATAATTCCATAACTCTCTGAAGGGGATGCGTTCATTTGAACCTGGGATTGTATCGTTTTTACTTTTTGACCGCAACGCTGACGGAACGGTGACTGAAACCTGTAGCTTTCGGGCAGTCATTTGTTGCAAGCCGCAATATTCGCTGAACCGATTTGCCAGGCACGATGCAGTTGTTGTACTCAGCGTCCCAAGCACCACCCAAGCTTGAAGGTCTTCAACGTGAATCTATGCGTGAGACCCTGTTGCTGCCCACGTGTCCACAAGCATGTTCGTGTTTTGATATGTTTCGGGTCGCTGAACTTGAGTACTTTGTTGTGTTCCGCGTGATGAACCTTATATAGGGTGTTTGCTCACCAATTGAACGCACAACATAGCAAGACCCTGGATTATGTTCTACTCATTGTTGCGTCTCCGAGCAACTGCGTTTGGAGCTCCTTTTTTCTGGGAGGAACCTCGGTCTCGCATGTAAGAGCGTGCTGACCGTTGTGAGATCTACATTCGTCAGACCGTGCTGGCTTTGAGTGGGGCATGGTAGGTTGGACTGGAATTGCAGGATGAGGACCGGATATTTGCTGGTTGCCACGGGTAGGTCTGCAAATTCTGTCGTACTCGTGTTCCTGCCTTTTCCAGTGGCGTCTCTGCAACAGATGGCTGCATTGTCAAACTGAGGAGCACCCTACTGTAGTCGCATGCGCCTACGTATGGGCTCCATGCTCGAGCCCTGAATAGAGGCATGCAAAATGGATGGGAGCTAGATGTGCAACTGCGACATGTACGCACATACATACATGTATATCTATATGCACAGCCACACACACAATAAGTTTACCTACACAACACATGTGCATACACATGCCACCAATAACCATTCAAGCTGTGACCTGGCATCCGAGGGCCAGCCAGGAGTGGCAGACCAAGAAGAAGGCCATGTTGGATAAACTCCAAAACCTCCCTGCCACTTGGCGAAGCGACGAGCTGAGTCTTTTTTGTTGGTAGAGGTTTCAATTTTGCACTTGGAATTGAATACCACTATCGGTTCGCAAGATTGGAATGGCTGAGTGAGCCGTGCAGACGGCCACCGAGACTGCGAGCGAGTTTGCCTGCGAAACGGTGCCCACAACAAAACACTTGGCCCAACCCAACTTCAAAACGCACATGGGATCCAATGGCCTTTGGTGAGCCAGCCAGCGGGAGAATGCGGCTGCCCCCCCCCTCCCCACACGCAAACAGGCAGATGTGCTTCCGTGAGTGATGCCCGAAGCCGCGCGGCATGTTTGGTCGTTTTGCCAGCAACACAGCAACCTATGGTTCAAAGACCATTTCAAAGACCGTTCTACCTGCCTTTGATTGAGTGGGGGGGCTCGGGCGTCAGCGTGGTGCTTTTGCAAAGCGCCAAGGCTCTTTCCTTCCGCAGCCCCAGGGAGAAGCAGGAACTGGCCGAGGCAGTTGTAAAGCAAAGGGGAGGATAGGGTCTCAGTTGTCGGCTCGCATTCAATCAGTTCCTGGCAATCCAAAAGGCAAAAGGCGATGAATATCCGCGCCCCCAGCAAGCTCGGAATGCCGAAACGGGCCCCGTTCATTTCCCAGGGTGGAGGGCATGGGGATCCGTGGGGATTTTGCATGGTGGCAAGAAACACCATACACAGATTTGGGAGTTAACCCCGGGATCCGCTGACCTGGTGGATCCGCCTGGTCTTCTTGTTTGTCGAGCCCTGCGCAAAGGAGCAGAAACCAAGGAAAGGACTCCTGTCCCTTGGTAAGTAACTTGTCCCTGTTGGCAGTAAGTTGTTTGAAGTTATTTGTTGGTATATTATGGTTCCTTGCATTTGTGCACGGCATTCGTACTTGAGTCTACTTGGGCGCAAGGAAGCTAATAGAATAATTCAAGGCACGCAATCGCACACCAACAGGCTAATACACCGGAATACTCTGCCTACCACTGCAGTTGGGCAGTTGGAGTTGGATGGGAGTTGGTTGCTTATTGTATTGGGCCATGCTAGTTTAGTCTTTGGGAGTTGGAGATAGAAGAAAGCCTAATACTTAGTAGGGGGTGAACGTATTCTTGCTCAATTGTCCAACGCTGGCTTCAAGTTGCAGTCCTGGTCGCTTTTCAACTGAGTACATTTAGCCAGGCAATCTGTGGTCCTTTTTGCATGTGAAAACTATCCTATCTCCCGCCGTGCATCACACTTAGAATCCACAAACAGGCCCAATCCTAAAGGAGACACCCCTCTAAAGGTTTTGAGCCTTTGAAGCATGCCCCTGCTGTGCTTGCCTGCCACTGTCATTGGCCCAAGCAGTGCGTTGCATCGTGGCAAAGCAATTGATTTGACTGAGCTGAGCCCTGTGGTAAACGACGGATTTGACCTGCGACAAAGTGCTCTTTGCGCAGGGTCGCTCACCAAATGTTTTCCGGCACCATTGTTCTTTGTGTCCAGGTGGTAAGGGCAACAAGCGAAAATGGGGTTGGTTCCACATGCAGAGTCGCCAAAGGAGTTCATCAATCCGCCCAGATCTCTCTTGTGGTGCCGGACAAGGAAGAAATATTTTGAGTCCATTCCCTGCGAGTCAATTAGCAGCTGCACAAGGGCAACTCGAGGAAGCTAAATAGAGCCAGAGAGTGAGAGATGAACCAATTGCTCCAAGCCATACATGCACACGGTCATCAAGTATTGTTTGTGTGTGGAGCCATGGCTTTGGGGGCTTCTGTTTTCGTAAGGGTGCCCTTTGAAGTAGGCTTCAGGGGAAACCAACGGAAACTGCCCGGTTTAGCACATTTCCATGTGTCGCTCCCGCATGGCTCGATCGCGCGATGGCTCCCAAAGGATCTTTGTCTGTGATTCTGGGCATTCTCGCTGGGGTGGCCTGTGTGCTGCTGACGGCTCCGGACTGGAGTCGTACGGAAGCGAAGGGAGGTCATTTTTCTTTTTAAAGAAGTTCAGTGGTGCCCTTTTTCCCGTCTCTTGGGGTGTCCGGTTCCCTCGTTTCCCTTTGAAATGTCCGCTACCGCAAGAAGGTGTTGTTTTTCCTCAATGGCCACACCGATGGCCTGGGTTTCAGCAGTGGTCTCACATCTTCCCCTCGGCGGTTCAATTTGGCGAGCAAGGTGCTAGGAGCGGCGCTGAGACTTCCTGGCAGGTGGCATATCAGACAGTTGAACAAGTCACATAGGCAGTGTGGTAGTTGCCGAGCCCCAGTGGCCCAAGTACCAAGCCCACATGTGAATCAAAGCTAGGAACCTCCATCAATGTGGGCTTACCTTTGAGCTTCCCTTGTCCAATTTGGTGGCACAATTCCCCCATTGGCTTTAATTTCACCCTGGAAGCGGGCATTAGTCCGGTACATCAGCTTGAGGACACATCTCTACGCACGCCCGTGCCAGCTCTAGAGGCCCATCGGTGGGCAGCGCCTGTTTGTTTTGTGGTTGGCCTTTTTCCCTTGGTGTGTTGTTTAAGTAGTCAATCCAACAATGCTGGGTAGCGAAAGGGTTCTTTTCACAAGCTCTCCGCATTTGTTTGGCTGAGTTATTTGGAGCAGATGAGCGAGAGTTTTAACATGTCCCCAAGTCTCTTGCCCCCACACTTAAGCAGGCTCTGGGGGGGCGTCATCAAGTAGCGTGCCTGGCGGCGTGTTCCTTGCCCTCCCCCGCAAGCAAAGCGCAGTCAGAAGGCAAAACGTGCAATGCGTTGGACAAGACGGTGGGCTTGATCTTGATTCACCCTGTAGTGGAAGCCTAGCGGTCACCGTTTTGCTTGGAGAAAGACACGTAGTTGCCAGACAAGGTGCGGGGGGGTGAAGTCCCTCATTCTGCCCGAGGTGCGTAGAAACGTGCTTCTTGTTACAGGAACGCTGCCCGTTACCGGAAGGTTTGCCTTGTTGCTGTCCACAAAGCACGCATCACAAGAACACTTTCGCACAGATCACGGGATGCGCAGACTGAACCCCGGTAACGACTTTAGATGTTTGACGGCTTTTGAACACACATCGTAATCTATTGTTGTTATCCGCCGATGATCGTCACCAGACATCTCAAAGCAGGCGATGTGTTGCCGAAACAGCTCGTACGCATTTGATCCTCAACTCAAAAAGTCATCAAGAACCTTGATTATACTATTTCACGCGCGCCCTTGAATCAACATAAATTATTGCAAGCGCTGCTGAGTTGGTGTTGAAATCAAAGAGAGACTTCAATGTTAAACAGAATCCATCCATGGCTCCAAGAAAGCCCTACCCAAATAAAAGCGCCCGACAGAAGGCCAGATTGATTGGGGTGGCATGGAGGTCCTTCATGGGTTTCTCCCATTTGGATACGTGCTAAAAATGTGCATTGGCTTGCTTTGGCTTCCTTGTGCCAACCACATTCCTTGCGGGTTCTCTTGAAAGACATCATTGTGTGTGTTTGGAGGCATGAATGGGATGCACCATCAGATGAGTTTGCAATGGAAGTTGCAGGGCAAAGGAATGCTCCCAGCAAGTTTAAAGAATGATATGGATGAGGGAAATCGAAAGCTGTGGTTCACAAAAGGGCCGTTGGATTAAGCAATTGACTCCACCGCCAGGTCGAACAAAGTTCCCATGCAACCCATGGAGCGCCCGTGCCTTGGCTTGCCGTCCAGTCTGCGTTTCGGTCCATCTGTGCGTCATTCAGCTGGCAAGGCTGCAGTTCGGCAAGCCGATTCGGGTTCTGAGCTCCCACACCTCCCATGTGATTTTAATGGGTGATCCTGTTGATGAGATTCCATGGGCATATAGGCATTGGAGGACCAAAATTCAGCCGGTTTGGGATGTGAGACACCCCAGGCATTTTCTGCCGAAGGCTTCAAGCCGCACAGACCACATGTCAAGATGGTGGGTATAGGAAGTTCGGAGCCATTCGCGTCACATCTACAAACATCCAGCATCAAACATGACAACGGTACTTGGTTCAACCAGCAGCAAGAGTGCGCATATTCCACGTGCGGGGCGCATATTGTTTGGACGCTCATAGCTTGTTGCTTGCGTTGCATCCAAGCCACCAACTTCAGCTCCAAGACTCGCAAGTGCATTGTGCACTGTGATTGGCTGACTGGCTGATTACAGCCTGCCAGCTGTTGCCTTACAGATCTCCGCAGGCTTCTCGACGAGAGAATCAAGGCCCCCGTTGGATATGTCCAATATGACAGGCTGGCGCCTTTTGGCGCCAGAAAGGCCGGCCTTGTAGCCGTTTGCAGGCGAGGTAAAGAAGGTGTTGGTTGCTTGTTTTTTGGGTTTACAAGACGCCCGCTCCTTTGAACAGAGAGCAATGGAATCATTGAACGCCCCCTAAAGGGGGATGGTGACCTGTGACCTGGCCTAAACCATTTGACCTGAACCTTTTGCATGTTGCTATGCCTGAAAGGACGCATGTGGAGCCACAGGTGTTCACTGGGTGCTCGACAGCCTAAAATTAGCAAGTTCCCCGAAAGGAGACCAACAGGTAGTTTTACTGCTTCCAGTGTGGTTGCCAGGTCCTCGCCAGTGGTCAGGTTGCCCTAATATCACCGGGCTTCATCCACAGCCCCGGTAAAACGGGCCCCTCCAGTTTTTGAAGCCAAGGTGCTTGAGAGGGTCCTGCTGGCGCAGGGTGCCTTGCCCGCGCTTTTGGTTCTCCCCTCAATGCCTCCGCGGCATTGGACGTTGCATTCCTGGCAGGACGGGCCACGCGAAAGCCGAAGACCCAGAAACCCTTCGAGGAATTTTGTGGAGTTCCGTTTTTGTGTGGGTTCCATGTTGATTCGCACGGGAGTAACAGCGTTTAAGAAAACCTGAGGCTTGATTGGTGCTGAAATCGTGGGCCGAATAGCAACATGTGGGCGGACACCGGCCTGGCAGAAGCCGCTTGGTTCATGGGATGGGTTGCAACCGTCCGGATAAGGGGTCTCAAACGCAGCCCGCTTTCACGCCTCAGTTTTTGCTTGGGCCTGGCTGGGACGCTGCCTTTCGGCTCGGAGTTGCTCCACATGTGGCTTGGGGGAGTGGGGCACTTCCTTTCAGCGTGCGTGGCTGGCTTTGACATCTGAAGAACCATTTGCTCATAGGTGTCCATTTTAGGTTATATTTCACTGGTTTAGACGGTTTAGATGTGGTTTACTCCATTTGCCAGGGCCATCGATTTTTCCAGAGAGGGCCACCTATGCATGTGTCCCTAGGAGTGCCTCTCGCTCCTGCGCGCCAACATGGAGCGCTTTGCGGACGGGCGGTGCCACGCCTGCCATGCGGAAGAGGGACCAGAACTGCGTGGCCTTGAGGCAGGGCTGGAAAGGCTGTGGGTCAAAACCAATGGGATCAGGTGCACCACCCATTTTAGAACCTTTTTTAGTGGGGATTGGGATGTTCACTGGGGGTACGGGATTTTGACCCATGGCCAAACACAGCAGCGAGGCAGTTGCTGGTTGCTGATTGGTCGTGAAGTGTTTGATCTTCTTGAAGGAAAACTGAAAGGAAAAAGGGTAAGTTTTGATTTGAGATACCTAATTAGTTACCAGCCAGCTTTGTTGGAGCCGGAATGCCAAAAAACAAGTCCCATTGACATCAAGGTTTAGTGCATTCTATTTTAATTGCATGAGGCTGGTAATTGACATGAAGGTAGTGAAAGCCTTGCCAAGCCATCCGAAGGCTGCCGTCCTGAAACCCGAAGTGACGGGGGGGGGGGGGTTGGAAGTCTACCTGTTAGGGGAAGGCCCCTCCACTTCTGTCATTGAAACGAGGGTATCAGTCCAGGTTGGTTGATCCTAGCTTGTCACCAACAGAACAACCTCCAGCCAGCCTTGTTTCCGACCACTAGTACCAACAGGACTTGGAAGCACAGGACCTCGTTGAATTTGGGCGTTGGCATCCGTGACGTGCTCACCTCACATTGCAAGCAAGCAAGTTTGGGCCGAAACAAGGCTCCGGCATGTGGACCCCAGTTCAGGAGCCAGGTTGATTGATTGGTTGGGTTCTTTTCGGGGCATTCTCCCTAAGTTTTTAAATCACCAAGGGTCAACTTGAATGTTAGCAGCAACAAAGACACTCCGGCCAAAGACGCAAAGTTGGGCTTGGGTTTGGTGGCTTGAAGGTTGCCGTATGCTGCGCCCCATGGCTGATTAAACTGAGCCCCCAGTTGGCTTTCCATTTGACTTTCCAGATCACAGTGTTGGTCATGGCCCATAAGCATGGCTCTTGAAGAAGGGCGACTTGATTTGTGGGTCCCTTTGTCCAAACCTGGGGCAGAACTTGCACGGCCAAAAGTGTTGATGTTGTTACCTTTGTTTAGTAGTCCCGTCTCATGCACAGCATTTGGCGCCAAACCCCTGAACCCAATTGGCATTCCCGGCCCTCGGCTTCCATCCCCCAGGCCCAGTTCCACTACCAGCCCCAGCCGCAGCTCCCGGCCTGCACGCCGACGCCACCCACGCCGGGCGCGCCGGCACCGGCTCCAGCGCCGCCGGTTGAGCCGCCGGCGCCGGAACCGGCAGTCAGCGTCTCGGCCAGGGAGATGGGGGCCGATGGTTTCTGAATTTATGGCGAGCTCACCGTTTTAGGGGGTAAACCGAGCTCACCATGATGGAGGTCCTTTGAAGATCCCTTGATTCAACTTCTGGAATTAGAGTAGCAATTGCCGATTGTTGATGGACTTGGGCTAACACATTTTGGGAGTTGCCCAATTGAGACACAGACCCAGATAAGCTCAGCCGAGCTCAGCTGTGCTGTGCGCAGCGTGTTTTGGGGTCATAGTCAACAATTGACTTGATGATTCCGAAGCAGACTCTGACCGGATAGCTTATAATTGCCGTGCCCCCGGCCGATTAGAAGTGATGATCACACTTGCTCAGCTCTGCAGATGTTTTTGGATGCTCAAGAGTCACGGGTTTGGGTTTCATAGGTTGAGGCACTCGCAACCAGAAAAAGGCCCTCAAACATCGTTGTCTTTTGGTTTCCCTTTAAACCAAGCTGAAAAGTGTCCCCTTCAAAACACACACACACACACACACACATGTTTGGCCAGCAGATTTCAGCAGGGAATTGAAATCGCAGCTGAGCTTCCAACCCAGGCACACCCAAACCAGCGCCCTACATCCTGAATGTGGGCAAGAATGGGCTGCCTGTAGCAGACACCCCTCGACCCAAGTGGCTGGTGAAAGAAGATGAGCTGGTGATTGATGCCAGGCCGCCAGAACATCCTTTTTGCAAGGCCAATGGGGCTTCTCACTTTGACCATTACGATGCCCTTAACTCAAGACCATTCACATATATATATATAGTTTCGCCTGGGGAATGTGCGTTTGATGTTGGGCGGGATGGATGCCCATTCAGGGATTCACCACAAACACATAAACTGTACATAATGGCCCCCGGTGTCTTTGACAAGCAGAGCATTCATCAGTTGGTATTATATGCCCCTGACTTACTTGTGCCCAACATCTGGGGCCAGGTCCCCCGCGAAAAATCAGCGGTCGAAATGCCGGCAGCCGGTTGCAACTCCTGAATCAGACGCATGCTCTTTTCCTCACCTATTTTGCTTTGCCGCTTGTTTTGAGAATGTTTTGAGCGTGAACGTTAGGGACCCAGGCTTTGAGAGTTGTTGCTTCCAGTTTGGAGAGGCACGATTATCATTAGCCGGCGTCGCGTCAAAACCGGGGGCACCATTCTGGAGTGTTCTGAGCAATCGGCCACCTTTTGGAAGACGTTTTTAATGGAAGAGCGGGTAAAAATGGGCTGCCATTTTGGCTCAAGACTTCTGGCATGTGTCTAAGGGAAAAACACACTCTTTCCTTTCATTACCCTCCGTTGTAACGATCATGGCCTTTTCGGAAGCCAGCGCGGATTCCTTGGAGTTGCTGGACGCCACCCTAGTGACGGAGGAGGAGGCAGGAACAGCTCCCCTTTTCAAGGATGGCAACCCCATGAAGCGAATTGCAGCCCTGGAGCTATATGGCACTCTCCTTCTGTGCAAGCTGCTGGCACAGAATCAGGGGAGCTCCTCATCACGAGTTCGTCTACCGGTGGGGAGTGACAATGAGGGCAACGTCTACGCGATGATGAACTTCTCCTCCAAGAAGCCGTATACGGCCATCATCCTGATGGAGGGGATCCTCCAACTCCGCAAGCGCGGGTGCGCCATGGCACCAAACCACATCCCCAGAAAGTTCAACTGGGCGGATGAGCTCACACACCCGGACAAGTGAACACGGGTTTCGTGCGTGGATTGAGGACTTGACTCAGGACTTTGTCCTGCCCCTCGTCTTGTGAGAGAGGGCGCATTTGATTTCTCCTAGGCTCCACCCAAAATCCCGTGACAGGATTCGGTGGAGGGTTGCATTCCCCTTGTCCCCCTCGGCTGGATCTTCATCCCGGCATAAAACAGCCAGGCACGCCGGTGCCATTTCTTTTGAGGACTGTAGGGACATTTTCGCATTTGGGTGATTATATAAATGTATATATGGATATAGATATGTCCCGTTTTGGAAAGGAGCCTGCATCCGCATCTGTGGGTGGAAGGGTAGGCTGTTCTCGGTGGTAGGTTATGAAAGACTACAGGGAAATACAAGCATTTCTCTGCAGCACGCCTGCGCGTTGTCAACTAACATATGTTCCATGCTTGACGACATGTCCAGTTTTTGGATCTTGGCGTGCTTTTTGATGGCATGCACAAAGCCGCGGATGCTGAAAAAGCCTTGGCAAAAAGTGATACAATTCCATTTCCCAGCCACTTCATCTCACGGAATCTGGGGCGGTCCTCAAACCCTTTACTGCGTCCTGAAACCCTTCATTGCGCCTGCAAAGGCTTGCCCGGGCCAACGCAGGCCACAGCCCCATGGCGGCATGCTCATTGTTCAGCCTGTGCTGATGGATGCGGGCGGCACGTGGGGCAAGAGCAAGGCCGAACGACCCAGGCGCACGCGTACCCGGGCCCAGGCGAAGGAAGGCCGTTGCTCGCAGAGTTTTGTTTGCTTGGCAATGATTCTGATGGCTCTTTGCAGCGCTGCTGTGGGTAGCTCATCATTTTGGCAAAAAGCGCATGAGAACTTTGCTGCAGCACTGCAAACTGGCTGTTGAGGGCATGTGACAGGCCTGAAACCTCACGTGTGGGATTCTTAGGGACATTTGAGTTGACGGTGCAACTTATGTCAGGAAAGCCTGGTCACTAATTATTCATTTCAACCCACTCCAGGGCCAAGCAACTGGGTATTAGCTTGGTCAGTTTTTGGAAGGCAGGGTTTCCTGCATGTTCTTTTCTGGTGATCGGCAGCCGACTTGTGGTTGCGACTAGTTGCGCCGCTTTAGGACTGGGGCATGCAATTCAATTGGAGCCGGCTCCGGGAGGTGGAGATCTATCGCATACCTTCGTGGCAATGACTGGATCGAATTTGTGCTGGATTTCTCTTTGAAGCAGATTGATTAGTTCGTCGAAGTTCAACGCAGCAACCCATGCAACGCTCTGATGCAGGTGGCTTCGAGCAATCCTTGCCACAAACCGCAATCATGCTAGCAGCCTGGCATAAAAGGCATGGGCCGGTTGAATCGAACGGTGCGTCGGCGTCTCCGCACGCTTTGATGCTTCACACATGTTCCTCCGCTTCATTGGAAGTGGTGCCTCATGCAATGCGGGTGTGGGTGTTCGGTTTGTGTGTGTGCGTGCGTGCGTGCGTGCGTGCGTGGCTGCGTGGCTGCGTGGGTGCGTGGCTGCGTGGACGAAATTTTGTTTGTGAGTGTGTGTGACTGCTTGTGCGGTTGCGTGCGCTATCATGCGGGTTTGAGTGCAGGTTTGTGGATAGATATTTGTAACTGTGTGTGTGTGGGTAGGCGGCTGGGGAATGTTGCGCTGGCTTGCGCAACTCGGCTAAGGGCTACACGGGCATGTGGTCATCCTTCGCTGGCAGCCCACGCAGCCTCAACTGACCAAGTGGCAGAAGCGGCAGTGTAGCGTGAACAAGTTGGACGAAAGGACTGTCCTTGGGGCTTGTTTTTCAGGATGCTAGGAGCTCGCAACATTTGACTCACGCAGGACGTGCACCAAGCACAACGAGCGCGAGAACTTCAACTGGGAAAAGCATTTGATGCTTGATAGCAGCTAGCAGCGGCAGTGTCACCCACGCGTGTGGACATTGGGTGTTATGGCGACTTTCTGTCAAAGGGCGCCGTTTATGGTGATGGCCCGTTGGCATCACAGAAAGGGGCCCATTCCCAGAACCAACATGTCCAGATTGCTTGGTTCTCAATGCGCCAAAGCGCGCGTGTGGCTCCCCTCGTAGCCTCGATCCTGTTGAACTGGGCAGCAGAGCGGGATCTTGAGAGCATCCGTCTGCCTAACTTTTTACGGCGAGCCTACTTGGAGGTAAAACGAGCTCACCATAACGTAGGTCCCTTCCGCAAGACTTGGGGATGCCTTGCTTCAGGCTTTGGAGTTCGTGTACGACTTGCAGGGGCTTGATGTTTCCTGGCAAACCGCCTACATTAATCCACAGACATGGCTCAGGATGCTGCACGAATACCTGGTGAGCCCGCAGAACTTCTCGCACGTCCTGATGCTGGATGCAGATGCTGCCTTGGTGAAGCACAGCATCGACATTTTGGGCGGCATCGCCCGAGACATGGAGAAGAGGAACTTGGATGTCTTCCTGACAAGCGCAGCCAGCCAGAAGTTGGGGCCGGTTGTTTCGGCGGGGGGGGGGGGTGGTTGTGACATTGTGTGATGTCAAGAATGGGTCAGTTGAGACTTTGCACATGGCAAAACCGTGGTGCCAGAAGTGGTGGTTGTTGCCCCACACACCTTCACCTAGCTTGTTTTGTGATTGTTCATCGCTTGATCTGAGCGCATGATACGCTCGAGCGTTAACCTGTCAAAGGCAGCCAAATGCTAGGCAACGTGACTTCTCGCCATGCTGGGACACGTGTTTTTTTCCAGGTAGGCAGTTTATTGTTTGATAATGGTTTCTTTTGGGCGCTGCAGAGTCGGCCGTGAGGTACCCGTGTGCTTCGGATGGCTTGATACTAGCTGGTACTGGTAGCCAAACAAACTTTCTAGAGATCTTGAAATGGGGGGGCAACGCAATAGGACTCCTGTCTTTCTTAAAAAAAAAACACATAGGAGACTGCAAAAGAACGGGACTCTCAACAAATTACGGAGCTTGACAATGCGCGGTTATCCTGGCAGTCCCTTCCCGTCGTGGTTCATGGGTAGTGCAAGGTATTGCGTGGCTTTGCCGAGTACCAAGACAAGCGCAGCCTTTCCAGGGTTTGTCTTTCAGTCACCATGCCTAGGAAGGTGGCAGAGGTCACAAACTGATTGCTCTCTCGACTTCGGGAGTCCCCGCTCGACTCGGGCTCCATTGTGACCAGTGCAGAGGCTGAAGCCATCGCTCTCTCAGTATCCGTGTAACAGATGATGTGGTCTTCAGGTCAGTTTAGTTCAGTTTGCTCCTGTCATTTATCGGTGCGCCAACGATTCCCAAAGGACGCCTAGGGTTCTGTCAGGAAGATTGGCTGCTGAACGGGGAGAACCGCATCAACGGCGGCTTCCTGATGACAAGGCGTGCGCCCTTCGTCCCCCACGACTGCCAAGAAATGCGGAGATTCCAGGTCGAATCAACCTGATCGCTTTCAAGGGCGGGGTGGGGTGCAAGACATGTGGAATTTGTGTAGCTGCGGGGCCGGTTTTCGGGCTTGGCGTAGAAACTCCTTGAGCAACTTCGGGGAGTAGCCCTTGATTTTGGTTTGGCTTGGTTGCTTTGCTTGGAGCTTCCAAAATAAGCTGACACGGGGCCACACGAAGGCCCTACCATGCTTTAGCGCCAACTGGCAAGTAGGGGTCCGCTCTCCTGATACATTTTCGAGGAATTGCCTTGGGGCCAGTTTGTGGGTTGCCATCTGCCGATTTGGGGGGGGGGGGTTGTGGTTCGAGTTGCAAGTTTCTGGGGAAGGGCGCGGATCGGACAATGCAGCCCGTATAGCCAGGAACACCCCGTGGTCACAGAAGCTCTTTCAGGAGCGCATGATGGTCATTGGACTCGCATGGCATGGAAGAGCCAATGCTTCAGGGTTTCATCTCAGTGCCGCTCCCATAGGTGTCCATTTTGGTTGGAAAAATAGATGGCGATTCCTGGTTTACCTGGCGGTTTAATCATCTACCAGGGCCATCTATTTGCCCTAAAAGGACCACCTATGGCCGCCTGTATAGCACATGTTCTTTAGCATCCACTTGGACCAAAAAATGCATTGGCAGGGCCGGCAACGGTCTCACTCGCGCAAAGCAAATGTGACATCCACCTGATGACCAGAAGGCCCCGAGTTTGACGTGGGCAAATGGGTTGGGCACATAAAGCAGTGGCCCCTCCCGACAAGATGGTAGACACACGCTTGGAGGAGCTTCCTTCTAGGGACATACTGTGCATGGATTTACTGTATGTCTAAATGAATGTAACCACGCCAAAACTTGTGTGCGTGTGTGTTCGTCGTTCGTGTTTTTGTGTGTTCATGTCTTGGTGTCTTCGTGTTTTCCAGTGTTCGTGTCTTCGTATCTTTGTGCGTTTGTGTCTTCGTGTCTTCGTGTCTTTGTGTCTTTGTGTCTTTTGGCCTCGTGTCTTCGTGCTTTGTCGTCTTCGTGTCTTTGTGTCGTCGTGTCTTGGTGTCTTCGTGTCTTTGTGTCTTCGTGTCGTTGTGTCTCAAGTCTTCGTGCCTTTGTGTCTTTGTGTCTTTATGTCTTGGTGTCTTCGTGTCTTTGCGTCTTCGTGTCTTCGTGTCTTTGTGTCGTTGTGTCTTCGTGTCTTCGTGTCCTGCGTGTTTTCGTGGTTGTGTGTGTTTTGTCTGTGTGGGGTTGATTTAAGCACCCGCCCAAATGAATCTGAACTTGAGAAACAAACACAACTCAAAGCACTTTGTATTTGTTGGGGGTTTAAAGCTTACGGCTTAGGGTTGCACTCCGCCTATTCTATTTCTTAAAGTGGTAGCCACAGCTCGGGAGGACACCTTTCAAGCACACGTGAAGGGCCCCGGAGGCTTGCGACGTTGGCGCATCGGCGCCTTGGCGTGGCGCAAGGGAGGGGGGGGGGCTATGGGAGGAAGGGGCGGCTTTTTGAGGGGTAATTATGTAACTGGACTTGAAAAGGCAACCTCCCCAAAGAGAGCTACAAAGGCACGACTATTCCCGTTACGTCCGAATTCAGTGTGGATGATCTAAACCTAAATGGGGGGGAGTTGTACCATCTACTTTCACCCAAGTGGTAATGTCGTAATGGATGCCTTTTGGAAAGCAAAGGGCAAAGACACATACCCTGATGGGACCTGTGAAGTTTGTTTTTGGCGGAACAGCTGGCGACTTTCCTAAGGGTAGATCTAGGTGTGAGACAACTGCGTGCGATATGCTGCCATCTCTTACAATGAGCCGGGGGAGCTGTGCCGTTAGGTAAACGCTGGCACCTTTCGGGGGGGGGGGGAAAGCAAAAGATATCATCAACCGCACTGCTCTTGCCAGCGCATTAGACCAGTCAGCCCATTTTTGAGGGATTGTTAGCAGTCCCATCCTGGCCGTTTTAGCCTCCTTGGCTTTCAGCATGTTATGCTCAATTGGAGGGCGGCATGGTAGTTCGTGCGCGAGACTGCCAGCGCGCACGTATCCAACATTGTCAGCGCAAAGAGGCCAGGTGAACATTTCAGTGGGAGGTTCTAGCCCCGGTTTGCCAAAAAGCGAGCGGGCCAACAGATGCTGAAGTGGGTCCGCCAACGCCTGGGATTTGAAACGGCCTCTTGCGAACATAGGGTTTAACTTCTTAAACCATCACCTATGAGGAATGAAGAGGCCTGCCAACAACGGCCGAACACGGGAAGTAAGACGCTACCAGTTCTGCCTATATTTAGGCCCATGTGCCGAATGTGCGACTTGTGGGGAGTGCTGCCCCCTTTCTTTGGGCCCGTCACTTGCCAGTTCATGTCAGCTCACGTTCACTTGGTGTACATGTGTAAGGCCAGAAAGACCCAAATGTTCAAACGGCAACGGCGGTTTGAATTTTCCGAGTTTGGGTTTCTGGGGTCATCCGTCCGGGTGGTGCAGGGGCTTGTTGAGCCTCCACAACTCCCGTGCTGGTCGCAAGGACTGCCGGCACAGGAGTGCAGCAGCAATGAGCAGATTTGCCTGAATGACGTCATGAGCGGCCGCTTCGCTTGGTCACTTCATGGGCGGGCTCATGGGAAACCATTTATGGAACTGGAGACGATCTAAGCACCAACAATCCCCTCCCCAACCTAGTGTTCGCGTTGTGACGGAAGCCGCCATTTCATTGCCAGCGCAATTAAGGAACCGCGGCCGATGTTTGCCAATTCAATCGGAGGTTCTTCGTTTGGTAGGGGGAATGCTCAAGTAACCCTCCCCCAAGGTACCCCTTCTTGCCAGCTACGTCCATGCTGTGCCTCCCTGAGATTCACGCAGATTCCCTTGCCCTGGGTTGGCTTCTAGGAAGATTCCTCTTGAAGGGGCCATGGGAGTTCATGAATGTTCATGAGCTACGTTTGCCAGAGCGCGGCACACCTGAGGCATATGTCATTCTGGCAACTGCTTCAGGACTACGCCCCTCACATTTGGAATGTCACATCCGTCTTAGCTGTCGCTGCTTATTCCAGACGCATGTTTAGTTCAACAGAGTTTCCTACTTTTCAGAGTCAATGGATTGTCCATGCCCCCTTTCATTTAGCAACATTCTCTGACTCGCCCTCAAGATAAGCATGGTCTGGGAACAAAAGCGGGGTCCAAGTAAGGAGCCTGAACAGTAGACATGAATGTGCTGGCACATGTCTAGTTGCGTAGTTGCTTTGCAGGGTTTCCATTTTTTGTTTTAGATCGGTTTAGGGGAACCCTTGGCAAAGTCGATGGGAGAGGGGCTCCATTGCGCTGGGCCGCTGAGCAAATTACAGCGGACTTTTTTTGGGGGGGGTTGCGACGTCACGCATGATGAAGGCTTCTTTCATAAGAACGCTTGTTTTCATTGGCGAGGTAGAATAGTTCATCCAAATTGTGAGGAGAAGTGAGTAGGCCTACTGTCCGTAGGCAAATCTTGGCTTATGTGTTGAATTGCATCCTCAATCCACTCTGACCATGTCCGGCCAGCCGTTGTACAGCGTTTGGAGCCCGCTAGACGGATTCCCAGCTTGCAGTTCTAAGAGACGTTGCGATGTGCATTTCGGATTCCGACATGTCCCGTGTCCTTTTTAGGTCAGTTTCAGAATCCACTGTCCTTCCAGTTTGGCTCCTCTTCACCACCTCCCGCTCGAGAGGAACACGTGAGTGTGGATCAAAATTAAACCACCAGGAATTGGACCGCAGGTTTTAGTCATGGGTTCCATTTACCAGGGCAACCCATTTTGGGTACCCATTCTTGACCCACAGCCATGTGAGGGCCTTTTGCAGCACTGGCGCTAAGGCTCCAACAAGGAGCTGGTCAAAGGCCACATGGCACTGGACGCCTGGACAAGACTCGCGCCGGACGCGGCGTCGGTGGGTTCTGCCTGGTTTCATGGGGGTTACTTGGGCTTCGCTTTGTCGACATTAGCGTCGAAAGGCCGGAGTCCATGCCAAGAACATGGGCGGCTTAGTGAGCCCTCTATAAACCTGAGTAGTCATGTTTGTAGAACCCAAAATCAATGGGGTTGCTCACATCGTCACCTTTGTAGCCAAGGGGGGTGGCATGAGGTGCACTTGTCAGATTGCTTTCCGCGCATCGGGGGAAACACGCCAAAATGTCAGCCTGACACCTTGCACGCAGCGTCATATTCTGAATGTTTTACTCAAACAAATATGAGTTTACTCAAGGGGATGCATGGTATTCAATTCTACAACAAGATTTGTGTTGAAGCGGCGTTCAGCTGAGGCCGCAGCTAGAAACCCAGCATCAGGCGCCCCTCGAAACTGCTGTTTCAATGGCCCGTGCTTTTTTTGCCGTTTGCATCCCAAAAAAAAAGGAACAGCCCGTCGGTTGCAGATAATTCGGATAGGCCGGCCGTGGACGTGGGTGGATGTCCGGGCCCGCTTGCTTTGAGCCAAGCACCAACAAAAGGACAGTCCCATTCCCTCCGTCTGGAGCTTTCCAGACCATAGCCTCGTGTTTCCGTGGCGATAAGTTGGATGTGAGGTTTTACTTAAGCCGCTCCTCTTTTCGGCGATCCCAGGAAAGCGGTGTCATTTACAACCGGGGCGGCTGCACTGTGAAGCATTGCGGGGAGCCCATAAGCGATCCCAACATGGAGGCAGGGCTGATAGACCAACGGCCGAGGGGACCTCAGTTGCAACCACCTGGCAAAATGGGTTCATGGCACCAGTCTCAGTGTGGTTTCGGTTCGGTTCGGCTTCGGCTTCTGGAAACCTATGTGAGGCGGTTCGGTTCTTCAACCGGTTTCGGTTCGCAGCGATTCCTGCGTCTAATCGGTTCGGTTCTCAGTTCTCGGTTCCCTTACACCGCAGCAAACGGCAAAGGTGTGGGACAAGCGAAGCAGCTGTTTGCTTTTTCTGGACCCCGGCAACCGTTTTGGAGCAGGGAAGGCCTGTTTGCCTATTCCGTCTTTCCCAAAGGCTTGGGACAAGCTGTTTGCTTTGTCCGCCTTTCCCTCATTTTTGGATGATTTTTTCGGGGGCAGCCACAAAAATGAAGAACCTGGCCTGATTCTTGCAAAATTTGCTCAGGAGCAGCCAGTCCGGACAAACAGGCAAAATGAAACCACAAACCACAAACAGGCGATGAGCAATCGGGTTGCAAAGACGACTGCCAGAGCGGTGAAGCAAGTAGCAAAGGCTTGTGACAGGGAAAGCAGTTGCTTTTCTGGAGCCTGAAGCAAGCAAAGCCTTTCCGGGCTTTCCGTGTTCGAACAGCAAGCAGGCAATGTCGTGTGGGCAGGTGGGAACAAAGGCATGAGCGTGCCCCCGGTTCGCTGCAGCGCGTCGGTTCGATTCGGTTCGGTTTGGTTAGTGGCAGTTTGCGATTCATGCCGGTTCCGGTTTGTGCGGTTCGCGGTTCGTGCGGTTCGTTTGACTTTCCGATTCGCGCGGTGCGAGGTTCGTGCGGCTCGGTTCTTTCGGTTCGGTTCGGAAGGGGGGCATCACTCAGTCTTGGTAACAAACGCCTAAATGCTATGTCTGAGGTTTTTCTTGACAAGTGAGGGGTTCGGCTCAGGAGTATCACGTGCTGACAATCTGACCAGGATGATTAGCCAGGGGAGCCAAGGGCTTGGGGGGACGATTGCCAGAGATCGCCCCTCTTTGGTACTAGCCATTGACGTATACCGTTGCATTGTGACAAGCATTCTGGCAATTTCAACATCAGGCTTTATATGTCTAGGCGCCTAAGCCTCTCAGTGCCTCAGCCTTAGGCCTTTGAGCGTCGTAAGCCTCTAAGCCTTTAAGCGTCCAGCCTCTAAGCGCCTACGCCTTCAAGCGTGTAAGCCTCTGGGTCAAGCTTTTAGAGGCGTGCGGCGAATTTCAGGCCCCACTTCCCAATGCGCTGCCAATGTCTTGTTTGTTTTGGCTCGTTTGCTTCGCCGGTCCACGCCTGTGATGTGTCTTGTTAGTTTGTTCGGCATGCTTGGCTATGTTGTGCGTTTGTTTTTGTATTGACAGCTTTGTTTGTCCACGCCTGAAATGTGTCTTGGGGAGTTTCTTCTGGTGCAGCACGCTTTGAATGTCGTACTTGTTTTGTGCCTCGACTGCTTCACCGGTCCACGCCTGTGATGTGTCTGTGGGAGTTCCTTCGGCAATGCACCATGTCCGACAAGCTTGGCCATCCTTTAGGATGAGAACTTCTATGGAGGCTGCTCTGCCACCGCCCATTGAGGAAATCCTAGAGCCGGATAAACCCTTCCCGCGGACTTTCTTACGAGAGGACACCATGGAGAAGCGCAGGTTGTCCTGCCGCTTCGCTTCAAGGAGGCGTCTTCATGGAGCTGGCAGACGTGTTGTTGACTCCAACAGGTACACGGAAACCAGGCCGCCTGGCACTGGTTTGAGACGTCCTGCTTCTGAAAAGTTATGACTCACAGACCGGCCTTCTTTGCGAAGGCAGAAGCGCGCCTCACTGCCACAAACTGGCCACAGGGCATGGAAAGTGGGCCGCTGAAAGTGTTGACGCATTTCAGCGTGGTCAGGACGTTGGTGCACCCATTCCAATCTCACCAGAGACTTTAAGTATTGTGCGCGAAAGCCATTGCTTGAAAACTTGCAAGCGGCCTGGGCTGCCCAAAAGTTCGCAGACCACGCCAGCCTGAATGAGGTTCTCCGCAATACCGGCAGGGTGGCTTTGATCGAATCTACGAGGGCCGTGGCTGTTTAGACCCCACTTTCCCCAACAAGCTCCCAGGCACGCTTCCTGAGTTTCTTGTATCTTCTTGAAGCAGCCATCAGCGGATATGAGTGGCTGATAGCCGCAGGGGCCCCCGCAAGCTCTGCCCCGCCCGCAGCCAAAGCATGCGCCTCGCTTGTTTCGGAAGAAGGACGAGGGACCGCTGAATGCCTGACAGCATCTACTTACTCCAGCAAGTGTCGTGGGCACGTATGCTTGATGCGCTCCTTGCAGGCCAAAAAATTTTTGGGGGAGGCTGGCGTTTCACCCGAGTGTGTGAGAGTTTCAGACGGACGCGCTGGTGCAACAACTTTTTTGACATTCCCTTCGCAAGCAAAAGCGGTCTTAGTCGTGATTTTCACCACGGAAGCCTTATGCGCTCAGCGCATCCCCCAGGAGAGCTAGCGCCCGAGACTAAAATCTCAGGAGCGTGTTTCTGCACCAGTCATCAGCAACTGGCCGAAGTCGAAACCTTCAAGGCTTCCACGGCGCTTAAGCTGAGTGTCTCGGCAAAGCTGCCGTTTTTGAGGTACACCAAGGCGGTGCACTTTTGCAATGACTCGTGCGCACTACGGCTGGCGAGAGCGAAGCCCACGAGGCAGGTGCGCAAGACCTTGTGGACTGTGACGAGGCGCGGGCTTGGAAGATTACAGTCTAGGTCTCCGTTTGCTGCCGTGGCTTTTTTTTGAGGGGAAATTCAGGCACCTATCGTAAGCTGCAGTTGGATGGGATGCAGAAGAGTGACAAGGAACGCCGGGATCTTCATGCGGCCAAGTCCTCAGACGAGGGGCGTAGTGTCAGAATCTCTGACAACACGATAGAATTCCATAACATCACCTCTGTCATTGAACAAGTGAAAAAGGAACTCACATTCTTGTCGTCAGAGAAAATCTCAAGCTTGAGAAGTGCGGTCTCCATTGTCAAAGAAACTGATAGCGGCAAGCAGTCAGGGAGATTGAAGATTGCCGCTGTGTCAGCACAAAGCTCCTGGGATGCCGCTACTCTAGGCAAGCTTTTAGATGCAGAAACTCCGCAGGAGCTGAGCCTGAGACCAAACCACACCCAGGCAGAGTTGCAACACAAGTTGCGCGAGGCTTGGCGAGCTTGAGTGGTGTCGAAATTTGCGGCATGCCGACATGAGGGCGCTGAGGTCCTACAATCTGGCAACTTGCCCTTCCGAGCGCTCAGCGAACATCAGTCCGTGAACGGGCTGAGGCGCATCCGAAAGTGTTCATCCTGGACTTTGATGAATGGGTTAGGTGGTCGCTGTATAGCAGCTGCTTCGGACAGTTTTGCGTTGCTGTTGAGGTGCGTGGTTTTCCTGTTTGCCTCTTCCTTGCAAAAGTGCCACCGGTTTGTGGATTGTGCTGGAAAAGGTGTCGCTTCTCCTTGCATCCCTTGTCCCCGCCCGAGCTGTCAGGTGCTGAAGGTTTGTGGGCGAGTTGCGGTTGCTGTCGCGGCGGCCGCTGCTGTGCTGCTCTGGCGTGCGCGAGAAAGCCACAATCATGATGATGATGATTGGGGGTTCTAGGATGCTTCTGGCCGTTCGCACCATCCAACGTTATTGCTGCGCCGATTCGTTTTCATGGTGTCGTCGCCTGCGATGGGAGCTGCTGGCAAACGTAGTGTTTTCACGACGGGCCTCTATTCGCTGCGCGGCCGTGCTGCAGAGTGCACCATGAAAATGCTGGCCGCGCTGCCGCCCATATTTGCCGGCCCGCGTTGCCAATGGCCATGCCGACTCTTTCATCATGCATCGTGATACCCAGCACGTGTGAGTGATGCTTGCAGCATTGCCACATGCCGCGGCACGCGTTTTTTTGGGGTGTTGCCTGCGTTTATGGGCAGACATGCTGCAACCGTTGCTGTAGCGCCTTGCGCAAAAGACCTCAGTCGATGCCCAATTTGTCTGCCCAAGTTCGCGTTGCCCACGTCAGCGTTGGAGAATACTGCTCCAGAGTTGTTTAGTATCAATGTTGCGCAGCGTGCCCTCTTTGGGATCAGGTTGAGCCGTGGTGCGTCCAGAATTTTCTGTGCACTGGGCATTAAACATGCCATTTGTGACTTTGCCACGAGATGTCTTTGAGCCCAAAAGAAGGTAGTGAATAAGTTTGCGTTTCGCACAAACATGAAGAACGAGTGTAATCCCTGTTCCTTCATAGCAAAAATCCCCCAAACAATCAAACATGTGTACCAACCTCCAGACCCACAATTTCTCACCAGCACGGGCCTCTGCAGGAAGACACAAATCATTAATATAATAAGGATTTCCTTCACCAAGCTCGTTGTTCGGAAACGTTGACTTTAACATGGTTTGAGCCGGGAAAGGGGGACCACTCAAAAAACGCCGGGCCCGAAATGTTTGTTCAATGTTGGGGAAGGGGTTATACACTCCCGGCTTGCCCAAAAGGCTCAAAAAGGAACCACATCATTAGATTCGACATCTCATACAGTTTTAAGCTCGCAGGCAAAGGGCATGAAGGACGAGCGCCGCCCGGAACGCAAGCATCATGTTTGGGAATGATGAGTATGTGTCACAATAGGGCACCCTCAAAATGATGGTGGTCCTTTAGTTTTTGTCTTAAGACCAAGCTGAAGCGGCCATCTCAGAAAAAAAGAGAACAGAAGCCCAGGTGGCTTCCAGGGTCGAGTTTCGACCGCCGGCGCTGCCCCACAGCTTCGCAGACCAAACGACTCAGTTGCATTGAGCATCTTTGAGCGCCATGCAGGCAAACATGTCATGGGGCACATTCCGCGACTCCCTTTCCGCGTCAAGAAGCCAATCTGGGCATATGGGGCAAGATGAATGCGAAGTTGCAGTTTTTGCATCTGAAGTGGAGGGCACTGTGACTGCTGGGTCTCTGAAGCCCCTTGGATCATGAAGCTGCAGTGGCAGTTGCTTTATAATCCTGTATCAGGTTGGAAGGCTTGGGTTTACAGGCTTCATTCTACAAGGAGCGTATTGGATCATGCGGGGCCTTTTGGCTCAAGTATGATCCAAACTGGCTAAATTTTAACTGCTGGTTTTGCGTGTTCGGCAAGGGTTACTTGTCGAATGATTGCAGTTCCAGGAGTCGATTTGGCCGTCCACACGGATCGGCCGATTTTGTCTGCAGGCGCCTACATCGACTTCAAGCGCCATGTGGGCACTCTGCTGGAGCAGGGGAATCATGGCCAGGCCCGGCTGCTCTGGCTTTCGGCTGTGGAAATCTTGCATGCCCCCTTCACGCAGGAACCCATTCCCCTGGTTGCTAGTGGGGAGATACCCCACCTTCAATTTGCACCATGCACCGTTGACCAGTGTGCAAGATGTGACATGTCTCGGGGCGGCTTCAAGTTCCCGTTCATCGGAACCTGGTGTCGGCGTGCAGTCTTGGTTCAAGACGGTGCATCTGCAGAGGAGGCCTGGGCCGCCTATAATGGGTGCTATGAGGAGGATCGCCTGTCAGAGGCCATGGTGGCTGAAGCAGGCAGTGGCCTCCGCGCCCAGGACATCATCCCGATGTACGTCTCCGCCATCGCTGGGCGAGTGGAGTCGGGTGACCTTCCCTTCGTCTCCTTCCGGGGCTTCTTGGGGGCCTGGAGGCGATGGTGTTTGGGGTCTCGGAGGTGGACCGAGCCATGGCCCAGGGAGAGCGACTCCCTGGCCAAAGCCACAGCGGGGAGGCTTCTCCGTGGGTGGCTGGACGAAGGGAGGAGGAACCTCCCTTTGGGCGGGCTTTGCGCCTACTGCGGCAGCAGGGCTCACTCCGTTTGTGCGTCATGTGGTATCCACCGATGTGAAGCCTGCCCCATCCGCTGCTGCCAAGGCTCTACGCTGGGGGTTGCTGCTCGTAGCTATGGCGTTTCGCGGTGATGCCACGCCTGGGCGCTATGCCACTGAGGCCATGGAGCACTCCGGGGGCGACCCGGGCGGCTCTGGTGAAGGGCTCATGTCCCGAGTCCAGGAGGCCAACGTCCGTGCCTTTCGGCAAAAGCATGGGCTGATGCAGGACTCCGACTTCGGCTTCGCCTTCGAGGCCTTTGACGACGCTGTGCGCGTGGGGGGCCACTTCGTGGCCGCTGATTGGGCACGGGTGCGGGCGGAGCAGCAAGCCCACCTTCTCCCGGCAGCTGCGGCAGTGGTGGAGGTGGATCCCTGGCGAGTGACGCCGGTGGGGCCATCGACCCTCCGCCGGCCAGCGGTGCGGCTCCCAACGAGCAATGTGGGCCTGCGTTTGAGGCAGAACCCAGACAACGCTGAGGCGGTCGGCCGCAGGGTCAACTTGCTGACAGAGGCCTTCATGAAGCTGGGTGTCCTCCGGCCTCGGCGGCATGACGACCCGAGGCGCTACGCGGACTGGCAGCAGGCAGTTCGAAGGCTGGCTCAGGAGCGAGTCACCCAGTCTGAGGCGACCACGATCCTGAACGCCGTGAGGACGTTCCAGGAGCTCTCGCTCTTTCTTGCGGCCAGGGATGTGCAGGACCCAGAGGAGTTGGACTTCCACGCCTTCCTTGAGCAGGCCATGTCGCCCTCGAGAGCTCTGCAATCCTTGCGCTGGTTGTCCAACAACGGCAGGCTGCAGTGGCAGTTGGACCGCCTGAAGCCCCCCAAGGTCATTGGGAAGGTGCGCAAGGCGAGGTCCCAAGCGGTGGTGGTGGAACCACCCATGTTGCTCACCCTGGAGGGCAAGATCATCGAGATGCAGCAAGCCCGTGATCCTGCCTGGACCGCATCTTTGGCGTCTTGGCTTGTGGCGGCGGGATGCCTGCGCTACAAGCACCTGAGCCTCTCCAGCCCGGTGAAGATCAGCAGGGAGTTCTTCCATGGCCACTGCCACAAAGGGAAGCAGGCCCACAACCGGCAGGGATTCGACTGGAGTGCACCAGCCCGTTTCTCTAACGGTTGGCACTGGGCCGACAAGTGGCTGGAAGAATACCAGGGGCTGGCGCCGGAGAAGCACGACAAGTGCGGCATCTGCTTCCATCCGGTCTCTGGCCAGGCTTGGCCCATTCGGGAGGTGCAGAGAGTTACTCAGCACATCTTCCACGGCGTGGTGGAGCCCCTCGAGCAGCTCACCAGCTACTCCTGGAGGCGCTTGCTGCCGACGGTAGGGTCCTTGATTCGTCTTCAGGACTCCGAGATCGTGGCCCTGGGGGACTGGCAGGACAAGGTGGAGGAGCGAGTTTCGATGCCGTTCCACTACAGCGGTGGCAAGTACGCCCTTTCCATGAGGACGAAGATGAGAGCTTTCTTCGTGGCCGCAAAGGTCGCGGACTGCGAGGCCTGGGAGACGGTCACGGAGGAGGAGATTTCCGAGGCCGATGGAGAGGCCAAGATCAAGGCCGCCCAAGCGTGCCGGGGCGACACAGAGGTGATCTGGGCCCAGGCACCGCAGACCACGGCACTCAAGAGGCGCTTCTCCCTGAGCCAGTCCCTCGTGCACAACGCCCGCGAGCGGATGCGGAGGCCGGCACCCTCGGTCAGTGCCATGCCAGCCCGGCTGGGTGAGACCTTCCTCACAGGGCACTTGAAGAATGGCACAGCGCTGTGCCCGGACTTCAACACGGGGGAGTGCCGCCAGGACCCTTGCTCAAGGGAGCACATGTGCGCGATGCTGCAGCAGACGGGCAGGGCATGCGGAGGGCGCCACCCGGCCAGTGAGTGCCGAGCGAAGCGGCGAATGACCGAGGCTAAGCTTCGCGAGCTTGGTCTGCCTGTGCCGGCCGACCCGGCGGAGGTGGGAGCGACCCGCCCTGCAGGGACGCCTTCGGAGGCGCCGGCCAAGAAGCGCCGAAGGGTTTTGCCCCCGCCATTGCCAATCGCCCCGGCCGGACCTATGTCCTCCAGACCGTCTGCCGAGGAGCTTCGGGAGGCGGCAGCAGCCGACCAGGTGGTGGCCATCGAGGATGCGGAGATCGGCGAGGTCCCCGCTTCGGTGGACACCCGGCGCCCAGCAGAGCCAGCTGAGGTCCCGGGCAATTTCTTGGAGATCCCGGAGTGCTTGGGCCTGAACCCGGCTGACAGCAAATGGGATCGGCTGGCAACCGTCAGGGGGAAATCCGCCCAGATCCCATCCTTGATCTACAACAACGTGAAAGGAGGAGCCCTCTTCTTGGCGGGCATCCCTACGTCGGTCACGGCGGCAGCCTTCCCGGCATGTAGCCTCCAGGTGGTTTGCTTCCCGGAGAGGCTGGCTCAGCGGCAAGGTGTTCCCTTGTCCGGGGCCCACGTGGAGTACTTCGCCATCGCCCACGCCGACCGCAGGCAGGAGGACTGGGACCGAATCTGGCCCCTGGTGCGGCGCTCGCTCTACCATGGGGACGTCGTCATTGTCCACTGCATGGCGGGGCGCCACCGAGCAGCCCTGGCGGCGGCAATGTGGCTGTCAATGCTGAAGGGCATCAGCTTGGCAGACGCGGCGGGGGAGATCCGGAGATGCCGCGACGTGGAGATCACCAAGACGCTGCAGGACCGCAAGCTGGCCGGATGGGTGCATCAGGCGTTGGCGAGCTCGTCAGCAGGCGTGTCTGAGCCGGTGTGCACCGGTTTCATGGCCACTGCCAAGAGCCAGGTCCACATCAGCACGGCCAAGGGCTACCCGCTCTGCCAGCACAAGCAGGCAGCTCGACGTGCCGATCGTCTGGCCTACCCGCTGACCACCTCGGACAAGTTCGAGGCCATAGCGTGGGAGCAGCGCTTTTGCCGGACTTGCCTGAGCAAGTGCCCGGCTAGTTTCCTCCCTCAGTGAGCCAATTTTGGCCTTGGGCGCCGGATTCGGGCTGCCCGAATTTAGTCCCCCATTTTGCACGCCTTAGGAGTGCCGCGGGGCAGTTGCTTGATCCCTCTTCCGTGTGGAAAACGGGGGGCGGCAGGGTGAGGCACCAGATTGCCCCGACATGCATGAGTCACGGAGCACAGCCGATCGACCATGTTGCATTCGTTTTTCAGACAGTTTTCAACGAGTCACCATGCACCGTGGCAGGCACCCTGGGGATACCAGGGAGGAGGCCGGGGGGCGTTACCTCCCGCATGGCCGTCGGCCGCGGACCGCGGGGCAACCGGCGAGTGCACGCCAGGGGTCTTTGCTCCTTTCAACTTTTAACGAGTCGAGGGTTGAGTTGGTTCCGGATGTGCACCTTTTTCTCCCCCCCTCCGTTTCTTGAATTTGGGAGTCTTTGAGGCCCGAGTGATTGTGTCCCCCCCCCTTGGAAGCCTCATGGCGGCGTCACTCGTGCCGTCGGACGGAGCCGATTGCCTGGACAGGCTCGGCAAGAACTTTCAATTGGCAGAAGAGGTAGTGGGAGCGCTTTCCAAGGCGGGCATCGCCAATTTGGAAGAGTTCCGCTTCTTCTTCGATGCCGAGGCCAAGGTGGAACCTTGGCTGGGGAAGATCCAGTTGGGAGCGGAGGCTCAAATCCAAGCAGCCAGATTGCGGAGAGCCTGGCATGCGGTCTCGCTGTACTATAAGACAGCCGAGCAGGACCGCTCGCGGGTCGCCATCGAGGA